TCCCCCTCCCCCCTTCCCCTTTCAGTGGTAAAATATAGCACGGGTAGACGTCTGTAGTCCTGTGCACATGCACAAAATTTCATTTGCAGTAATGTAACGGCTTTGTTTTCACCTTTATTTCCTGTTCTTATAAGTATTCATTTTAAGCACTGAGCTAAGCGCTCCACGTTGAAATAGCCTCTTTCTGCGGAGAGCTGTACGCCTGCAAACAATTTGTTTTAGCACTAAGCGCTCCCCTTTGAAGTAGCCCCTTTCTGTTTAGAACAAGTAGGCCTGCAAACGATTCGTTTTTAACGAAAGAAAGAGGGCCTAAATGCCTCATCTTCAGCTCCAAACGACAATCTCTCGTAAGCTGGCAGAACGGTAGCCATTAGGCATTCCCCACTCTGTTTTTCAAGCAAGCATTTCGTGGATTTAATTACGTCCTGTAACCAATGAAAATGGACCTCTCCCCGTAAGTTCAGAGTTAGTACGACATAAACAACAAGATAATTTAATTAAACATGCGTACAAAAAAACCCAACCCAATTCTCTTTAAATCCCTGTCAATGTTCATGCAATTAGCACAAAAGTTTCGTCACATCATGGGAAATCAGAGGTTCTTTTTTAAAAGGACACTTTTAATCACAATATTGGTCAAAGTCAAAGGTTACAACGTATAATATTTAATACACTGGGATCTTTACATGTACAATTAAATGTGATGCTGTCAGTGGGAGCATGGGAATGGTTGTAGTGACATACACGAGAATAGGGCAAATAATAATACATGTATTATTATATAAACGATTTAACAAATACTTAAATTGGTGACATAGCTATTTAATAAATAGGGGAAATCGTATTATTATATAAACAATTCAATAAATAAATACATGTAGTGAAATTGATGACAGAGTCAATAACAATTTACTGAAAGGCTAATGAAGTTGGGTCAATATGAGAAAGTGTAAGTAAACAAGGGATGCTTATTTTTCTTTTATACACGTTTTTGGTTTTTCTTCTTCGCCCTCAAAGAAAAACAAAACAAAACAAAATGAGAACTAGATCTAGCTTGTATAGAAATGAATAAACAAATAATAAATTGAAGGGACCAGCAGCAGGAGAGGGAAAAAAAGAGCGGTAGCCATTTTGTGCGACAATAACCTGTCACATGGTCAAAAGAATTCAGGCCTCTGAGTTTTTGATCCACATATTGGAACTTTCTGCCGACGTGAGCGATACCACCTCGTCTTCCTCCTCCAAAAGAGGCATGGTTGGTGAGTACTCTAGCTCAGTACCCACGCCGTCCTGAAAGGATGAAGGCCATGTTAGTCCACTCAACAAAAGCCCTCACGACACGACGAACCCCCTCCCCTCCAACCCCCCCCCCCCAATAAAAAACAACACAAAACCCCCACAAATACACCCCCCCTTCCCACCCCCCACAAAAAAAATAAATGAAACGGTACTGTTTTGGGATTCATTTTTTTTCTTCTCGAAAATCGTGCATACCCAATTATTAATTTATCGTCTTCATTTTTTTTCTAGCCCCAGTATGATGATAATATTTTATCAAGCAGATCAGAGGGGACGCATAACTTATTTCTTTTCCAAAACCCTTCGCGCTATGGAAAAAAAACAAAACAACCCCTGAACTGTGTAAGGTGTGGTTCTTAAAAGCCCTGTAAACGGGCTCATAGAAAAAAAAGTAGGGCCTACACGTTTTTCATACGAAAACAAAACATTAAAATTTGTTTTCATTCATGCTAGGTCTTTCTTCATAAAAAAATGGCTTCTGCAGCTCAGTTAGTGTCTTCAGTTTCCTACTAAATTCATCAGATTTTGTGTTCATTTAACGTGTGACACCCCCCTCACTAAAGGCCTACTTAAGGAGGAGGAC